GAAGCAACTGCCATGTGATTGGTTGATTAGATAATTGCATTAATGAGAAATTGAACAGGTGTTCCTAATAATCCTTTAGGTGAGTGTATATATATATTCAGCCCTTTGATATACAGGGTCAGCTGTACATAAATATCAATAACTTAAATACCTATATGTTTATACCTAAATGATTTGTAGTTCTAAACGTTTTGCATGGGGATTTTGTGTTCCTAAATAAAAATATTTTGGATAAGAATTTTGTAGTATGCAGCTAAAAACACTGGGAATCGCATCCTATGGACACTTCCTCCAACTGTCGCGTGTTTCATGGTCTGCCAGTCTGCACGGGAGCATCAAATTACAGTGTAAATTCTGGATTTTGAATTGACCTGCTGGAATAGAAGCAACTTATTATTATCTGGTGAGATGTTTGTATTCCAGCTCAGCATTTCAATGTGTGTGACTTTCCTCTGCACAAAAAATTGAGCTGTGGAAATTTGGAGGCTTGAACTGAGGCCAAAAAAGAATAAGGAAACTTTTCTGAGGAGACTGATACGAATACATAACTATTACTTGAAAATGTTCCTTTTACAAATTTCCAATCAGCAGTATACAATGGAAAAGTGTTTTGTTTGATGACACCAAGTGTTTTCATTTTCTAACAATGCAATCGGAAAACAACATTCCTATGTTGACATTGCCCTCTAGGGGACATGTATAAAACTGCCTCAGTCAATGTATTACAGCAGCAGGAACCCTGTGTAGCTTGCACTGTTCCACCACAAATGATTCAGCTCAAGAGCTATGTGGTAATTAGCACAAGGACTTAAATCAGGTGTGTTAAATGAGGGGAAACCTAAAAATGTTTAGGGCTCTGGCCTTCCAGGACTGGAGTCTGACACCCCTGTATTACAGCATGCACAAACACATTTGGGAAAAAGAAACACTGGAATATTCATGACTATATTGTGAATAAGTGTGGATAGAAAACAAAACACAGAATGTAAGCTGCACCCCAGGGTTGGGTATACATACTAAGCACCGTGCTAATGGGGATGACATAAACTATCGGTCTGAGAATGTGGTCTGGGGATATACAAAGACAGGCGTGACTTACTGAAGACAGGGTGCTTTATGACAAAGTTCATTGCCATGAAAAGAATCCTCATTTAAAGTAGTTCTATTCCTGACGGATGATTTACGTCGCAGTTGTTGAAAAATGAAATTGAGATTCCTAGGGAACATAATACCATAAATGTAAATAATGTGATGTATCAGTATAACAGGGGGAGAATGGTTGGTTGGGTTCTGTAACATTGTTTTTTACATACCTCAGTCTGGTTTCAGGTACATGATTATGTAGTATAGGACTGAGAGTAGGCCTAAATTCAACATAAACTTACAAAGGCTAGATTTTCACTACATCCTGCACAAATTTGGTTTGCAAGGAAAAGTATTTCCATTTTCACAACCTCTTCATTTTGCAGAAATGGAAACCAGATCCTAAGTGAGAGAGAAAGAGAGAAAAAGAGATAGACAGAGAGGAAGAAGGCTTGGCTCCAGATTTAATGTGTTATATATGTGAGTCAGTCCGTGTGGACATCGTCACCTCAGTCTGACATATTTATAATATCTATAAAATTCCAGATTTTACCATTTTGTCATTTTATACTGCCGCACATATTGGAAGTTTCAACTCCATTCTACATCTGCAAAACTCTTTGGTCTGGAGTCCAGTGATCTAACCACCACTCCAAAGTCCACAGCAGATGTGATCAGATCTGCCTACTGTGACCCTGTATTAATGCTTACGTACTGATTCAGCTTACTCACTGATGCACAGATTGTCAAAAAAACAAAGACATGAATAAGGAACAAAAGTCTTTTTTTTCTTATTCACTTTAACTGTCCAGCTACAGTTGATTTTTTCGTTAGTGTCATTTTTTCAGAAGATGATACGGCACACTGCCTGCAGGTGGCGCTATACCCGCAGATCCCCAACACCTCCGACTGCTCCTCACCTCCGGGCTCTCTGAGAAGGACATCAGAGGATATGTGTCATCGTGACATTTTTATTCTCCTTTTTTAATTGTTGGATATTTTTCTTGCCTGCGATGGCATTGCTGGTTTGATTTTGGCAAGGTAGATTGCCAGACGTTCGGTATGGCAATATTTTTGTCTGAATGATCATCTGGCCTTATCATATTCCCTTAAACTTATAAAGATAAGTAATACTTCACATTTATTATAATTTTTTATTTCAGAGAAATTGTGAAGAATGTCAAAATCCATCCACCCATCCATTTCCTGTAATTGCTTGTCCTTTTCAGGGTCGCAGGAGGTCTGAACTCTGAAGCCTATCCTGGAGGCTACAGTCACAAGGCAGGGAACAACCCAGGACAGTGGAGAATGTCAAAATATTCAGGAAAATGGGAAGTATTCACCAAGTAGATCACTTGGACCATTATGGAAATACACAGCCATACACCTTCCCTGGGTTTTTACTAACTACTCCTCATCATTAAAGGCCAGTCTTATAATGAGACCTGATTACACCATTATTTGCCCTTAATGACACAAACCAGGATGCAGACTCTATCTTCCAAACAGCATGGTGTGCTGCTATACCTGTTAATCCACAAAGACAAAGTCCACAACACAAAAGGTGCTTTGATAGATAGCAATTACAGCAAAGAAATAATACAGAAATTCAGGTACTACATAATATGGTGCTTAAAGACCTAGGAGAGGGCTACTCGTGTTAAGGGTCCTGTTATGTTTACATTTTCACACAAATATTAGGAATGGCAACATCTGCAAGCAACAGGATAAACTTTAGCTCCTTTTTTGTTTTTAGTATTTTTTTCCCAATGTTAATTGTATGGAATCAGATTTGTGGCAATATTATCAAGCAAAAACCAGGCTTCGAGAAGAAAAAAAAACTAACTGAAGCAAAAGAAATGTCATCTCAAAAGTAAAATTTATAACTTGCAAACACGATTGGTGTTTTGATAATGTTGCTGCCAGCTTTCTCACTTGCGCTGCCTGACTTTCTCGTGTGGGCAGGTTTTTTCAGGGACGCGTCCCCATGTAAAAGCACTGTACTCTCCTTAACAGGAAATAAAAGTGGAAAATGAGGTTAACATTAGCAAGTTAGCTAACGTTAAATAGGTAAAAGCTAACTTACATAGCAAAGCTTAACTTCACTTCTAATTTAGCACAATAAAATGTATAGTGCAGCACAAACAACATCAACATTTAAATGTAGCCCCAATAAACATTTTTTCTTCTTGAAGCCTTGTTTTTGCTTGATGTCAAAAAAGTTTTGCTTGATAATATTGGCACAAATCTGATTCCATATAATTGGAAATGTCAGTCTTGCTTACTTATGGTGCTTTTTCACTGGCATATAGGAGCCAGGCTATACTCGACCTGTACTGCAAAGAGAGATTAGTTACAGTGCAATTCCAGCCCATGTTTGGTTTTCCACTGCAGAAGGGTCGGCTCAGTGAAGGTGTTGGAGAGCAACAGTGACATAAAACCAAAGAGACGCTTATTTACCATTCATACAGTATACATCATGATTTATTATGTGCTAATTTCCACTAGCATGTCTATGAGAATCATTGTGTTATATAAGCTTCAAACACTAACGGAATTAGCATTAGTTGAAGTTCCGAGTTATTGAGTATGCATCAATATATTGTGGTATGTGATGCTACTGATAATGGATAATACAGAGAATGTGCACTTTCTTCTTTCAGATAATCCACACATATCAACGCAGATCACGGTACCTCTGTGAATTTCAACCAATCAGATGGTGGTGAAGCAACCAACTTTGTTTAGTGCAGGTATGGCTCAGTTCTTGGTGGCAGTGAAAAAGCGTCATTACTGTGCATCCCCTGGGTTCCACAGGATGGGGGGAGGTGAGGTTATGGTTATCAAGGCCTCACTGGCAGGGTCACAGGTCATACCATTAAAGCACTTGTTACTTCTAATAGAAACCAGGAGGGCCATCTCCCTCTCACATTAGAGAGGAGTCCCAAGGGGAGACAATGCAGATGCTAATAAGGCAGCATAGGGGAAGGGAGAGCACACTGGGCTCTACTAATCATGAGAGAGAACATAGTGGAATTCATAAAGGGCCTCACATGTCCACACACACCCTCTGTGCCATTATGACACATAGTTAATGAGGAGCAGATTGCATTATAAACAACTCTAGCCAGATACTGAATTACTAAGCCAAATCACTTGGTCCAAATAATAGGTTACTTCTAAAGTAATATTGCTGGAAATATCAAATAATTAATAATAATTGATACTTTATTGACCCCTGTAGGGAAATTCTCTTTACACCTTCCGTGGTGAGGCTGGGCTCCAACCGGCACCCTTCTGATCACAGGCACAGAGGTTTAGCCCACTGAGCCACACACTGCCCCCATCACAGTGATATATGTATAAAGCAGGGGTCACCAACTCCGGTCCTGGAGAGCTACTATCCAGTAAGCTTTCTATCCTACCTGGCTTCTGATGAGCCACACCTGCTCCTGGTATTTACCTGAGAACTAGTTTGGCTCATCAGAAGCCAGGTAGGATAGAAAACCTACTGGATAGTAGCTCTCCAGGACCAGAGTTGGAGACCCCTGGTATAAAGAATTACAGCATTTATATAATATACTGTATTAATGATGGCATGATACTAAATGACAATTGTTGCTGTTATTATTATTAAGGAAATGTACATAGTCTTATGGAGGGGCACGCTGGAAAGACAAATGATCCACGGTGCAGCTTGCCAGAACAGAGTTTTTTTAGTAAGACTGGACAAAACAAGAAAATAAAAAAAGAGACCATGGGCAAGTAGAAAACAAGAACTAAATCAGGGAGCAACCCAGGAACAAACACAGCAGCACAACAACTAAACTGGAGCAAACACAGGAACAACCACTAGGACTGAGTGAAGACTAAAGCAAGGGCCGGCACTTAAACACATAAATGATGAGCATCAATAAGACCAGTGTGGGCAGTAACAAGCACTAGGAACACAAGCACACTCCATACGCAACTCAGTGTGCTAGCATAGTCAGGAACAATGATAGGAAATATGCCAACAGTCAAGGCTATACAGATACAGAAAGGGAGAAATCAGCAAGGCCCTGGCATGCATACACCTGATAGAGACAAGCGCTGCAGTATTAAAGCCTCTTTCTTTCACCTCAAAAACTCCAAATGCAGATGCACAGTGATATAAAACACAGAAGAAATCTCCTGCTAGGGACTCACTGGTTTAACATTGCAACTTAACACTGTGACTTAACACTGAAAGTAGCAGGAGTTATATGCTAGTTAGTCACTTGAATAAGCCGAGCTGGCTGTACGTTTTCAGGGGGTCCAACTAAAGCTTTATTTGAGAGGAGCTCTATCAAGAAAATGTATGACATTTCACTTCCTCCACAATGCAGGTAATTCGGGGCAACTGCCTGTTCTGACTATAGCTAGAGCTAGCACTGTATATAAATCAGGGGTGGCCAGAGTGTATGTAGGTATTTGGGTCAGCTGTTCAAACCCAAGTGTGAGGACTCTTCAGCCAATCAGTCCTCTAATTAGTAATCTAATTAGGGAGTTGCAACAAAAACCTGCTTACACAGCAGACCTTTCTGGATAAGACTGGCCACCCTTGATATAAATACACAATAATGATGCTGCACTTGTCCACCACAAACCATACCAAAATTAGAAGTGTAACAGTACATGTATTCATACTAAAAAACTGATGAGTCTTTTGGTTTGGTATGTATATATACCGGATGAATGTAGCAACTATGGAACCTTTGTGCGTTTGTGCATTTCCCCCGAGCAACATTCGGAAAGAGGTGGACGAAGCCACACTACTATGCATGCGCATGTACATCCTAATGTGAAGCTGGAAGTTGTTAATGTGAAATCAACTACAGCATAGGTATTTTTTTAAATGCTTCACCATAATGGATATTTATTTTGTTATGCTTTGTATTTTTTGAGAAAATATTTGTGCTGCACAGTTCTAATATGAAGCTGAAACCTGCTAATGTGAATTAGGTACAGATCAGGTACAGTTAGTTTTTTAAATGTGCACCTTAATGGATATTTATTTTCATTTACTTGAGAGAATATTTATTTTGATTTACTTTTAAGTACATTTTTAGTTTTTTTATTAGTAGGTTGCAGCAGTATTGACAGAAACTTTTTATTTAAGAAAGATAGTCATATTTTGTTTGGAAAATAAAGAAAAAAAATAAGCAATTCATGTTTTGTTTCTTTTACCCCCGCTGTAATAAAAAGATACCGAACTGGGACTTCAAAACCGAGGTACATACCAAACTGTGATTTTTGTGTACCATTACACCCCTAACCAAAATAGACATAGAGACTCATGGAAAACCTTTTACTCTCGAATCAGAAAAGATCCTGTGAAGTGACATTAAATGCCACGATAATAAGTATCTGTAGTGTGGATGAAAAATCACAGCCTAATGCTCGGTGACACCTCTGAACATGAGCAATTCTCCTATTTTGCTGGGTTGCTAAAATAATTATGCAAATAAATATGTTTCAGACTGTAGTCTTGGAGGTGCATTTCCAAGGTGTGAGAGAGACATAAGCCATGATACTGCACTGTGTGTGCTTGTGCTTTCAGGAGGTCCTCTGATGATGGTGCTGTTGTGAGACAGCATGCCCCGAGAAAGTATTGGGCAGTAATCCATCACACGCACGCCGGGTGGGGAGGAAAGATGATCGCCTGCTCCTTGGTGCTCATTAGAGCTTGTTAGTGCTCTTCAGCACTCATGCAACAAGAGCCAAAATCCAGCTTCTCCATGGAGGACGACCTACAATTCACCCCCCATCCCCCATTCCCAGGGTTCAGCGCATGCTCCCGCCAATCACGGTGACCCTATCAGCATGCTCTTTCTCCATCATTGTCCATCTTACCATCTTTCCTCTTCCACTCTTCTTCTGTTTGGCCATGAAGACCCTGGATCCGAAGTACAGTTCCATGTCGAAAGCTGATCCATCCAAAAAGGCTTTGCTCCTGTGAGGCCTCATCGTCAGCCCCCCTACCTAGAGACACTCAGGCACGCTCTGTCCAAGCCTGCTGCATGAATACAAACATTGCATGTTTCCGATACCCTGTCCTGTTTCGCTGATTTCTGCTTTCACGCTGTGTTAAGTGAAAAAAACAAGGGGTATGCAAAGCTAATAAAGCGACTCTTTTGTTTGGCTGAAAATGCCCTTTTTTCTCATTACCTTCTGCTGCAGAGCAGATGTGTGCTTATCTTTCAGCCATTAGTGCAGACCAGCTGTTGCTGGCACAGTGTTACATGGGGGCCACCGGTGATGACATCATCACAGCAGGACACATTGCCAGGCAGGCATCCAAAAGAAGAATGGATTATGTTAGTTGGGGTTTTCCCTCATTTTCCCTCGAACTTCTTTAGAACTTGTGTCCACAGTACAAAACAACTTACAGATCCATCAATGGAAACTGTCCCCTAATTGCCAGTGTTAATTGAATGCACTAAACTGGTTTCTGCTGTCACACTGAATGAATGTTCATTATGTTACAACTATAACTCAGGTAATAGGGAACGTTCCCAGAACTTTGGCCAACATTATGTGACGTTTGCAGAAAACGTTCTCACTATGTTATCTCCACATTTTACATTTTAATAAAGGTTCTGTCGATGTCAGCACAATAGCATTATTATTTCAACATCCTTTTAACACAATTAATGTTGAAAAATATTTGTAACATGGGGATATTTTGGTGTTTATTTTGTCACTTACATTCTCCTGCTGGTTAATCAGTTAGGCATTCGTCTTTTTTTCTGTTGCTCTCCCACGGATGTACGCTCCTGCTACGTCACTAATTGGGGCTCAGAAAAGTGTTGATTTGAGTCAGGTGGTGTTTTTGAAATGGGTATTTGACCCTGGCAGAGAGATCATGTGATGGTTGCTAGCTTGGCTATTGCGCGTCTCAGCGTTTGTATGGGTGCTGTGACCAGCAGTAAGCGTTCCGTGGTGTAGTGTGTTTGCCAATGAAGAGGAGTAGATTGCTGAAGCAGCGTCCACTGAACACTGGCTACTGAAATGGCAACAGTGTTCTGTGTAGTGCGCTAGCTGCTGTTCTCTATGGTGTATGTCTGTGTGATGTTTGCGGTTTGAAATTTTATAGTATTGTTGCATTTGTTTGGTCCTCCAACCTGTGGGCTGTATGCTAGAAGCACTAGGGTTGTTGTGAGCCATGGGTTCTCTTTTTTTTTGTTCTGATTCCCTCTCCTTCCCCCCCTCGCTTAGCTAGTTGCGGTCGTGCCAAGCCGTTTAACAGCAGGGTGTCTTTAACACTAAATCACCTGAATGGTGAGTTTGATGTGCTATGAAGCTTGAGGCCAGATTCTTTTTAATATTCACTAGCGTGATCATTATCGTATGAGGTTGCAGTGCATGGGGTTTGATTTTCTTTTTTTTTTGAGTGTAGCGGTCTGAGTGCCTGCATTTGTTCATGTGTGGTATTGAGACTAACAGTGTTTCATCTTAACGGTTGAACTGGCTTGGACCTGGTAGCTTGGAAAGTCCCTTGTATGCTTGTTTTGTTTAATGCCGTTGATCTGCTGAATGACTAACCTGTCTGACCTTCTTTTAAATGTATTTAATAAAGATTTGTATTTTTATAAAGTAAAACCTGTGCAATTCAATTTTAGGGGCTTAATTCCCCCTTGGTCTGATATACCACTTTAATTGTAGTTTAAGGGGGTGGTGTGGTCAGCTGTCTACAAGGGGGTGTTACAATTTGGCGTAGTTGGCAGGATATTTTTCTTTTTCCTAATTGTCAGTATTTGGTTGGTCATATCAGCAGCAGCAGTGGTGTGTGTGTATGGGTGGATGTGCTGTGCTGAATAGAGAACAGCAGCTGGCCATAAGATGGACGGCACTGGCGAGGGATCCAATGTGGAGCTGCAGCGGCTACGAGAACAAGTGAACCAGCTCCAAGCTGAAAACCAAACTGGCACATACAGTGGAGGCATCGGGGACAATGTTAATGATAATGGTGCCCAGCTTACATGACGGGAACAGGCTCTTTTTCTGCCGAGAGAGAGACAGTGCCCTAAATTCTCCGGCTCTACAGCGGTGGGGTCTCCATGTGTGGAAGAATGGGTTGAGGAAGTACAGAGTTGTATTAGGTCAAGATATACACTCACCTAAAGGATTATTAGGAACACCATACTAATACGGTGTTTGACCCCCTTTCGCCTTCAGAACTGCCTTAATTCTAAGTGGCATTGATTCAACAAGGTGCTGAAAGCATTCTTTAGAAATGTTGGCCCATATTGATAGGATAGCATCTTGCAGTTGATGGAGATTTGTGGGATGCACATCCAGGGCACGAAGCTCCCGTTCCACCACATCCCAAAGATGCTCTATTGGGTTGAGATCTGGTGACTGTGGGGGCCATTTTAGTACAGTGAACTCATTGTCATGTTCAAGAAACCAATTTGAAATGATTCGAGCTTTTTGACATGGTGCATTATCCTGCTGGAAGTAGCCATCAGAGGATGGGTACATGGTGGTCATAAAGGGATGGACATGGTCAGAAACAATGCTCAGGTAGGCCGTGGCATTTAAACGATGCCCAATTGGCACTAAGGGGCCTAAAGTGTGCCAAGAAAACATCCCCCACACCATTACACCACCACCACCAGCCTGCACAGTGGTAACAAGGAATGATGGATCCATGTTCTCATTCTGTTTACGCCAAATTCTGACTCTACCATTTGAATGTCTCAACAGAAATCGAGACTCATCAGACCAGGCAACATTTTTCCAGTCTTCAACTGTCCAATTTTGGTGAGCTCGTGCAAATTGTAGCCTCTTTTTCCTATTTGTAGTGGAGATGAGTGGTACCCGGTGGGGTCTTCTGCTGTTGTAGCCCATCCGCCTCAAGGTTGTGCGTGTTGTGGCTTCATAAATGCTTTGCTGCATACCTCGGTTGTAACGAGTGGTTATTTCAGTCAAAGTTGCTCTTCTATCAGCTTGAATCAGTCGGCCCATTCTCCTCTGACCTCTAGCATCAACAAGGCATTTTCGCCCACAGGATTGCCGCATACTGGATGTTTTTCCCTTTGCACACCATTCTTTGTAAACCCTAGAAATGGTTGTGCGTGAAAATCCCAGTAACTGAGCAGATTGTGAAATACTCAGACCGGCCCGTCTGGCACCAACAACCATGCCACGCTCAAAATTGCTTAAATCACCTTTCTTTCCCATTCTGACATTCAGTTTGGAGTTCAGGAGATTGTCTTGACCAGGACCACACCCCTAAATGCATTGAAGCAACTGCCATGTGATTGGTTGATTAGATAATTGCATTAATGAGAAATTGAACAGGTGTTCCTAATAATCCTTTAGGTGAGTGTATATCACCACAGATGAACTGAACTTTTTATTTCAAGCACACCCAGTGAGGCCTGTTTTCTACACGCTGCCGAATATTCACAAAAGATGTGAGGACATCATCCCAGGCTGCCAATCTTTAACGGAAGGCATTTCACAATATGTTGATTGGTATATTAAGCCTATTGTATGGACATTGCCATCTTATTTAACTGATTTTTTGAATAAATTGTGTAATGTGGAAGTTTCACAGAATGATTTATTATGTACAATGGATGTAACAAGCTTGTACACTAACATTCCACACGATCTCGGCTTATGCGCTTTGGACCATTATTTAAAAACTAGAGTCATTGATGAGCCTCCAACTAAATTTTTGTGGGACTTGGCGTATTTAGTACTGACCATGAATTATTTCAGATTCGAGGACATTTTTTATCATCAAATTAAGGGGACGGCAATGGGCTCGCCATTTGCCCCTAACTATGCAAACCTCTTCATGGGTAAGTTTGAGGATGACTTTGTCTATAATAATAATAATGTTTTCCATCAATATTTAAAGTGTTGGTTCCGTTTCATTGATGATGTTTTCTTCATATTTAGTGGAACAGTGGAAGAATTACATCAATTTCACCTCTTTTTAAATTCGAGGGTTGACTCTTTCTTTTTCGCTTGTATATGACAGTACTTCGATAGCCTTTCTTGATGTTTATGTATATCGGTCCACTGGGTCGTTTCTTCAAACGTCAGTATATCGTAAATCCACAGATAGAAATAATTTTTTACATTCTCATAGCTACCATCCCCCTTCTATGAAAAAAAGTTTACCATATAGCCAATTTTTATGTATGAAGAGGATTTGTAGTACCGATGTTGATTTTGAAAATCAGGCTAAAGTAATATATGACCGTTTTTTGTCCAAGGGTTAGGACTAAAAATTTGGATTTTTGTCTAAATAGGGTACGGGGTATTGATCGTAGACTATTGTTTAAGAAAAAAGAATCCACTTCGGTGGATCGTATTATTTTATCGATCACTTATTCTCCTTTTTCTAGAGACATAAAGTCCATAGTTCATAAACACTGGCACATCCTATTTAGTGATACAATTGGTCAGAGTTTCCAGAGCCCCCCTCTTTTCGCTTATAAAAGATTTAAAAATGTGAGTGATATGTTGGTGAAAGCAGAGGCTTACACTCCTACTAATTGGCTTACTACACTTGATTCAGGAAATTTCCCATGTAGGAATTGCGGTAATTGTAATGCCATGATTAAAGGTGACTCCTTTCTACATCCGCATACGGGAAAGTGTTTTCCGGTTAGAGGAAGAATAACTTGTCGCACAACTTTTGTTGTTTATTTATTGAAATGCCCATGTGGCCTTTGCTATGTTGGCAAAACCAAAAGAGAACTTAGAATAAGAATTAATGAACATAAAAGTAATATAAGAAATCATGATGTCAAGTCTTCTGTAGCAAGGCATTTCAATGCATATGGACATGAAGTGTGTACTTTGAAATTCCAAGGGATTGAGTTGGTTAAACATCTTAGGCGTGGTGGAGACAGGGAGTGTCATCTCCTCCAGCGAGAGGCTTTCTGGATCCACCAACTTCAAACTGTACATCCTAATGGCCTTAATGAAGAGCTAGTTTTAAATTGCTTTTTGTGAATCATTGTTTATCATGGTCTGTTTTGTCTATTTGAGGGTTTTGGGGTATGTATGGGATTGTTGTATTATGACATTGGTATCTATTTGTTATATATTATGTGTGCATATATAGTTTGTATTTTTTCTTTGGAGATCTGGTGCGTAATTGTGTGTGTGTGTGTCAAGGTGTGCATTCTTGGGGGTTGACAATTATGATGTCACGCTATCACCTGTTTCTTGTTGCCTGGATAAAACCAGTGTGGTTTGGTGTTTTTTACACATTGATAACGGCTTGACGCCAAAACGCGTCTGTGTAGCATGGTGCAATAAACTTTTTTTCTAAATAGTATGAGAAGTATCTTGTGAGTGCGGTTCCTTTTTTGTATTTTGATGTCGTTAACTCACACCCTAAGTAATTTTTTAGATATTTTGGAATTTGAGCGTGCCTATCTTTGATACATATGTTGATTAAGCATTTAGGGAAATCTACTAGTAAATCTTATGGTCCACAGCTATACAGGGGAGGTCGTTCTAGACGTGCTCCTGATGGGCAACCTGTCTTTTTTCGATATGATAAACCTGGACATATAGCTCGCTACTGTCAAGCTGCTTCTTCCATAAGCAGTAGCAGATTGGTTCCCCATGCTCCCTT